AAATTGTAATTCTTTGGATGACAAAAAAAAAAACCACGTTAATGAGTTCTTTGCCGAGAAAATACCGAAATTCTGGGAAGATGGAATCTTGAACTTGAAGAAAAAATAGAGAAAAGTTGTGCTAGAAAATGGTTCATATTTAGTTGAATAAATATTTAATAACATAATTTTGTTTGGTGCCTTACTTTCCCTTAAAAATTGGCATGAGCTTTCCGGACAACCCAGTTAAATGCCTGAAGCTGGAGAGAGTTACAAGAATTTAAGAAGATTACAAGAAAAAAGAATACAAGAAGTGAGAAAGGCACAATCATTAGTGGCGAGAGAAGGGGACAGCCGACACATATATGCCGGGCCTCGAAACCAGAAGGGCTTCAAGAAAATACATTTAGGGGTTTAGGGGGGGGATTCTTTACTAAAAGTAGAGAGCAAAATTACGAATCGGTATTTTATTGAAAAAAATACGCAGACGAAAACCAGTTCCAAAGCAGCTTAAAAGTGAATTCTTTGAACTTTCACTGAAGCAAAATGCGCGACGAATTCTTCAAAATCTAATTCCGGTACCAAATCTCACTCGATCGCAAGGGTTGCCAAGTTAGACACGTTCTTTAAAAAGTCTTGTAAGACACGCTAGATCGAGTCTCTTAGTCCTAGCATCTCCTTTTCCGACAATTCTTAAAATAATCTGAGTGCCGCATCTCAGAAATTCTCTCGCCGGTACTGGGTACAAGCTAGAGAATGGTTTCAAAGTGACAAGAAATTTGCATCGTCAGCAATGGAGGAAGAATTAAGATGCAAATGAAGAAAGAAACAGAAGCAGAAACTATAAAAGACCAGAAAAGTGAAATATATTCTGATATTAATCGAAGAGTGTTAAAAAAAGAACAAATTTGTTCCAGTGACTCTGTTGAATCTGCCAACCTCCTCAGTTTCGATCTTTAAATAAGTAAGTGTATCTTACATTATTTACATTATTCGAACTGATATCCTCATCTTCATTGCCATATATTCACAACGTTTCGACCGTTATACGCTCCGGCCTTCTTCAGGTGATTGGAATTTTTCTTCAATATCTGCCTATATCTCTGAGAAGCTATTATGATTACTTACATTATTGACATTATTCGGACAGTTATCCTCGTGTTCATTGCCATATTCACAACGTTTCGGCCGTTGTACGCTCCGGCCTTCTTCAGGTGATTGGAATTTCGAACTGAACCCTTTATTTCGTCCACCGGGTAGATTGTTCTAGTTCTACGTGCCATGGCTCCTCAAAGACATGTGTCTGCATGGCCCAGTGGATTGGTTAGATCCGGTCATCAGTCCTAAAGAGATGTAAGTACAATGCCAGTCTACAGCAGTGGTAAACCAAAACTTTGAGAATTGATTTAAAGGGAAATAATTGAGACAGACGTAAGAGTCATGGCACGTGGAACTAGAACAATCTGCAATCATAATACCTCATCTCCGAGATATAGACAAATATGAAGTGTATCTTTTTTGAAAGAATGTGTATTGTCAAAAGACTGTTTTGAAAAGAAATGTATCTTCTCAAAAGATTTTTCTGTTGTTGACAAATTTATATCCGCTTTTTTTGTAAAATGGCTCTTCTTCAATATCTCTGAGATGAGGTATTGTTATTATTTACACTACTTACAATAGGTATCGAACTCAAAACTCTATGGGTCAAGTCACTGAATCCAATCAACACTTTTATCTACTGGGCCACTTTATCCACACAAGGACACATGACCCAGTGGAGAGTTGAGTTAAAGGAAGATAACTGAGACATCTGGAAGAGGCATGGCACGTGGCACTTGAACGATCTACCCCGGTGGACGAAATAAAGGGTTCAGTTCGAAATTCTAGACACCTTAAGAAGGCCGGAGTGTACAACGACAGAAACGTCGTGAATGTGGCGAAAAAGATGGAGACCTGGCATTAGTGAACAAAAAAATCTTCTGGAGTTCAGTTAAGGGGAGATAATATTAGTTTTTTTTTTTTAAATAAAGCTATGTACTTTTAAAATAAGAGAAAATGGGAATAAAAAGGAGACCCTTAATATCATGGAGCGATAGTAGAAATGTTTATGCCATATAATGAGGAAAGAGGATTTGGAAAATATGGTTTTTGTCTCCGTTGTCTTCTCTTTCTTTCTTTCTTTCTTTCATTCTTTCTTATGCATGCTTTCTTTTTGTCTCCGTTGTCTTCTCTTTCTTTCTTTCTTACTTTCTTTCTTTCTTTCTTTCTTTCTTTTGCATCCTTTCTTTTTGTCTCCGTTGTCTTCTCTTTCTTTCTTTCTTTCTTTCTTTCTTTCTTTCTTTCTTTCTTTCTTTCTTATGCATGCTTTCTTTTTGTCTCTGTTGTCTTTTCTTTCTTTCTTTCTTTCTTTCTTTCTTTCTTTCTTTCTTTCTTTCTTTCTTATGCATGCTTTCTTTTTGTATCCGTTGTCTTTTTTTCTTTCTTTCTTTCTTTCTTTCTTTCTTTCTTTCTTTCTTTCGCATGCTTTCTTTTTGTCTCCGTTGTCTCCTCTTTCTTTCTTTCTTTCTTTCTTTCTTTCTTTCTTTCTTTCTTTCTTTCTTTCTTTCTTTCTTTCTCCGTTGTCTTCTCTTTCTTTCTTTCTTTCTTTCTTTCTTTCTTTCTTTCGCATGCTTTCTTTTTGTCTCCGTTGTCTCCTCTTTCTTTCTTTCTTTCTTTCTTTCTTTCTTTCTTTCTTTCTTTCTTTCTCCGTTGTCTTCTCTTTCTTTCTTTCTTTCTTTCTTTCTTTCTTTCTTTCTTTCTATGCATGCTTTCTTTTTGTCTCCATTGTTCGAAAAAAAAGAGGAAGAAATATTTTATACTCCCCATCGTTCTGGGGAGGTTTTGGTTGACAGTCTCAAATAATACACCGTTGTATATCATCTCTTTCTCCCTCTCTCTCTCTCTCGTCTTATACCGGACGGGTGGTCGCTAGTTGTTTTTTTTTTTTAGTTCTGATTTAAAAGAGAGATCAACCAAAGGGAATTTTAAATCTTAACCATATCGACGGGTATCTCTTCTAATGAAGACACGATATAACACGTCTACATTGTTCGACGTGTAAAACTTAACTCACTGAAATCCCCTTTTTACATCTAACATTCTGATTCTAGCTTCGGCCAATCACAAACGACTTTCTTTGTTTTCCTGTATCTGATCTCAAAGATTAAAGCGAGGAAGTGAGAGGAGTACTACAGTTTTCTATAAAATAAGATTCAGCTAGACTATTATTTAACAGAAGAAGGAGGAAAAATGAACCTGGCCTAAAAAGGCCTGAAGATTACAGGGTAAGAGTCTACTTATTTGTGACTGAAAAATACCAAAACTCGGGGAGGCACCAGGCAATAACTTCCGTTAAAGGAAAAACGAAAACGAAAGGAACGCTAGAAAATAAAATAATTTTGTCCAATCAAAAAAATTGGCACAAAGAGACTTTTGACGTTAGCCGAAACCAATTTTCGCGCTAAGTTCTTGAACCTGGTCAAAAGGATATAAAATAGATACCCCCCAAAAATTCTTAGAAGTGTCCATCTGCCATTCCTTTATCCATATTTAGTAAAATTATAACTCTTAGAAAACTGATAACGTAGAAAAACCAAAATATTTTATCAAAGGGCAAAAAAAAAAAAATAAAAAAAAAAATAAAAATAAAAGAACTACAAAAAAAAATCCCATTCTTTCGTTAGCAGGAAACTCCATTATAACTGTCTTTTAAATGGAGTCCTGCTTCTCGTGTTTCTGAATTGTTATCATCTGTTTCTAAAACATTGTCCATGGAATACAGCTCTTTCGGAAAAAAAGTTCCACAATAATTTATAGAATGGTGGGAGGGATTGGCTTCCTTTCAGATGTTTGATGCTGTAGGAAGTGCAGACAACTGCACTTTAGTTTTCGTCTCTACGACACAAGATGGCAACCACGTGAACTGTGTGGTATTGACAACGCCATCATTCTCCCATCTTGTGTCACTAGAACGTCTTCCTGGAGGGACTGCGATGGACTACAAGCCGCATATTTGTAACTGCATCAACAATTTAGCTAAAGTAGGTTCACTGTCTACTGGCATAAGTGATGATGTCAGTTTAAAACTCATACTTTCGAAAATCAAATGCTGCTTGACAGGCCGGGTTCCTGTCAACCATTCAACGGTTTCGTTAGTGGAAAAGGAGTGGCAGGTGAAACTTGTTGAAATGTACTGCAATTTGCATCCGTTAGAAACGGTTGCAACAAAGATAAGGAAGGTCCTGAGTGATTGCGAGCGAACTACAAATGTTAGTGAGTGCCTAGCATGGTGAATTCTTGAAGCTTTGAATTCCTTTAGATATAGTGACAAATTCGACCTTATTTCGAAACTGAAGACCTTTATTGAACAACAAGGTCTTCCATGGTCTGATATCACTAGATTCCAAAGAAATCGGTCCCATTTTCGAACAATGCAAAACATTTGTCTTGTGACTTTCCTCAACCAATAAGACCATTAAAGCACTGCAGCAGATAATTACGAAAGAAGCCGCTATCGTCGAGATGCAAGTGCTGGGAATCATAGGGAAGATGCTATCAGGGCTTTAGATGAGTACCTTCTACATCAGTGTAAATACCCTGAGAGACCCCACTGACACTATAAACATCGTCAAGGGTGTCATTGGCAATCTGAAGGTACTCATCAAGGACCCTATGTCTATTTTCGACTCCACAAAGGATTTCTTTGGAAATACATTACCAAAGAAAGTGATAGCGTCCCTACTGTTTGCCTAAGCAAATGAATTTCGACAGATGATAACTTCCGGTTTAAATGGGATTATGGAGGTTTTAAGCAGAGAATATGCAAAATCATTCAGCATAGTAGAGGCTTCTTCCAAGTCAGTTTTAACATCGGTGGGGGGGGGCACACTATGCTAGCTGAAAGCATCATCGTTGAAAAACAGAAGCTTGCAACTTAATGCTTATGTATCAAGCATAAACGATGTCATCAAGGCCAAGCGGATTCAAGTAAGGAAATCCATCGATGATCTGGATGCTGAGCAGTTCCAGGAACATTTACAGTTGGCACTGATGTGCGGCAGACAGAAGACTGGGATGAAGAAGATGTAGCAACAAGAAGAAATTGGTAGAAGGAACAGGGCTAAGGATGTCCAGATGGGAAAAAATGAGAAGAGTCTTGATCTAAAATCTAAAGGAGCAGAAAGATCTGTCAGTTGACTACTGGGTATCCCGAGTCTGCGCAAGTCCTGCATGAAATCCTCACTGGACTCATAGTTGGACATTCAATCAGACATATTTGGACAATTGATGGTGTTAACTGTGAATACGCCGGCGACATCATTAATTATGCAAATCCATTTTATAAGATTTCATATCTCAATGATGTAGCTGACTACTATCGATTGGCCAAATACAAAGTTGGGGCTGATTATGTTATGCAGGACTTGTATTTCGAAAATCTGCCCAGCAATCATGAAGAATGAAGAGGCAATAGAAGAAAAAAAACAAAACAAAAGAAAACGGCCCTTTTTAGCGCCACAAAATATTTCTGAAATTTTTTTCAACATTACACATAGTAGCAATTTCTTTTAAATATTGTTAAGGCTATTGGGTTAAAATAATAAAAGTTTAAACAATTATGTAATTAATAATAAAATTTAAAGTACTATAAAAATGAAATAATAAAATAACCAGCACGATAAGAATTAATCTTACTTATTATAAAACGCAGATTGTGTGTGTGTGTGTGTGTGTGTGTGTGTGTGTGTGTGTGTGTGTGCGTGCGTGCGCTTATATATTGGATCAGATTTCCTACATTTTTCAACCGATTTCAACAAAACTTCACAGGACTACGTAAAATTACCTTGCGGTGGTTCTAACATCGCCAAAAATTGGAAAAACACAATTGTTTTTGCACGAAATCAATTTGAAAACACGATTAAGAGGCATCACGAGAATGAAAGGGGGGCAACTCATATTGAGTTATACTTATTATAAAACCCAGGTGTGTGTGTGTGTGTGTGTGTGTGTGTGTGTGTGTGTGTGTGTGTTCGTTTATATATGGGATCGGATTTCCCACATTTTTCAACCGATTTCAACAAAACGTCACTTTTTTTTGGCATGTAGTGTTTCTTATTGTCTTGCACACTTTTTTCTTTATTTTTACATTCAGAATGATTTAAAAATTCCATTTACAAGACAATTGTTTATAATAAAATTCTATTCAATCAGTAGACTCATAACGATTGAAAACAATGTTTTTGTTTGAGTTTGGATTTGACCAATTCGTAAAGAAAAAGAAAAAAAAAAATAATTAAGACATGCATGTCCGTAAACCTTAAACAATAATCGTTGTCAATTTTATTTTTCAGTCTTTATGATGGTCGATACTTGATCTATCTCTTACTTTTACATCCCCGGGCAACGCCGGGCTCTACTGCTAGTAATAAATAAAATAACTTAACATTTCATAAATTATTGATCGTGGTATTTTATGTCAGTTATTAAATTTTAAAATTAATCTAAGAAAATTTCATATTATTTAAAGTTTTATTATTTTTTCGTAATGTATCTTCGTAAATAAAAGTCAATAAAAATATTAGATAATTTTTGAAGCTATTATGTTAATTTGTAAAAATGACTAGGTAGCTAAAAATAAAAAAAATGCGTTCACTTAGATTTCGTAAATTTATGTTAATTCTGGTCATCCATACTAGCATCACCTCGTAACTTATCGGTGACGTCGATAACGACAATAAAAACATGATAAAAAGAGGACCCGTTATTAAGAAATGCTTGTATATTATATTTTTTTATACCATAAGTAATATTTGTTTCAAATCCAGATTAATTTAACTTCAAATTTGCTAATTTTACTCAAATAACGTGTCACAAATATATATTATATTTTTGGAAGATTTTTAAAAACGATAGTTTTATTTTGTTTACAAATTTCTTAAAATTAAGAAAATGGCCGCTTTTAAGAAAATTTTCTTAAATCGACCGAAAAGCTGAGATTCCAATTCCAATTTTTATTTAAAATACACCAGAATTTACTGGAAATAGTAAATTTAATTATTTAGCTTTCAATTAAAGCTAAATTGAAAACTTCAAAAATGCTTTTTATTTAAAAAAATAATTTTAAACCTTAGGTATCGAAAATTCTGTGGGGGTACCTAAATTTAACCAACTATGTTATATTGTGCCTCGGTGGGGTGAAAAGTAGCATTTTTTTTACAGTGTTCATATTTTTTTTTCAAGTTAAGTCCTTAAATTGAAATGACATACAGAATACTTCTTCATTATAATGTTCACTTAAATCCAATGTTCATGTACAGCTTGAATAACAGTGTCTGTTATATGGTTCGTAAATTTATATTAAGTTCGTCTCTCTTTCAACATTAATAGTGTGTGTGTGCATAAAACGGTCAAGAGGGAGTTAAACTTTTCTTTCAACTGACATCCAGAATCGCAGTTCGCAGACAGTTTTTCGGGCGTTGAATCTGTGCCAGGCAATGACGTCATCGCTCTTGAGACATGAGAAACGCTACAAAGCTACAAAGAACACAGCAAAATCATTATAATTAGGCACCATCAAAGACTAGCTAAAAAAAGAGCAGGCATGATGAATAAAAGCCTAAAATTTAATAAAACAAAGTCTTATCATCAAATCCTTTTCCGAACCTTCAAAATTTTGATAAATTTTTCCTTGCTTTCCACTCCACTTTGATCTTCAAAAATTTAAATGCAATGTCAATCGTTATCTACTGTCTTCTTGATTCCTCTTCCTTTATTGTTCTCACTTCTCGCCTGTGGAAATCTCTTCCGGCTTCATGCTTTCTAGCCAACTTTGATTTTGAAAATTTAAATGCAATGTCAATCGTTATCTTCTGTCTTCTTGATTCCTCTTCTTTTATCGATCTCTCTCCTTCATAATATTTTTTCTTTCTTTCATATTCTTTCACACACAGTGACCCCTTGCTTCTTAAAGGATAGAGTGATAAGCTGGAGCTTCAGTACAAATATAAAAGAGAGAGCAATAGAGAGAGGGAGAAAGAGAGAAAAAGAGAGGAAGACGAATAGGGAGAATGAGCAATAGAGAAAGAGAAATAGAGAGACAGAGAAAGAGAGCTATAAAGAGAATTACCTATAGAGAGAGAGAGAAAGAGAGAGAGAAAGAGAGAGAGAGAAAGAGAGAGAGAGAGAGCAATAGCGAAAGAGAGAGCAATAGAGAGAGAGAGCAACAGATAGAGATAACTAGAGAGAGCAATAGAGTAATAAAGACTGAAAAATAGAGAGAGGAATACAGAGAGAAAGAAAGAGAGCAATAGCGAGAGAGAAAGTAAGAGATCAATAGAGAGAGAGAGAGAAAGAGAGCAATAGAGAGAGACAAATAGAGAGAACAATAGAATGAGAAAGGGACCAACAAAGATAGAGAAATAAAGAGAGAGCAATAGAGAAAGCGAGAGAGAGAGAAAAAGAGCAATAAGGAGAGAGAAAAAATAGTGCGAGGGCAAGAGAGAACAACAGAGAGAGAGAAAAGAGCAATAAAGAGAGAGAGAAAAATAGATCGAGGGCAAGAGAGAACAATAGAGAGAGAAAAAGAGAGAGAGATAGAGAAAAAGAGCAATAAAGAGGGAGCGAGCAATAGAGAGATAAATACAGAGAACCGAAATAACGAGAGAGAGAGAGAGAGAGAGAGAGAGAGAGAGAGAGAGAGAGAGAGATAGATAGATAGATAGATAGAGTGTGTCTGTGTGTGAGAGAGAGAGAGAACAATGGAAAGAGAACTATGGAGAGAGAGAGAGAGAGAGAGAGTCCAGAAGAATGTAGATACATATATGTATGTAAGTATTCTAATATAGCAGATGTGTTGCTTAAAATGTGGAAGAAGTATATACGTTTTTAAGTGTCAACGTAGGACTGTGATTTTGTTTATTTTGTAAGTTTCCGTTAGTTGATTAGTTATTAAGAGGACTCAATCAAACCCAAATTTAAAGAGAAACATCACGATTTCTACAGAGTTTGGCAATTGTACTGATTCCCGTTTCATATATGTCACCCAATGTACCAAACATGACCTCATTTATGTGCGATAACGTAAAAGTTAAATAAAACATTAAATGGACACAGGTATAATGTCAGACAAAACAATGTAACATCAACGACTGTAATGTTGACAAGCATCTTAAAGTGTTGTAACAAAACGATTTCTCACACATCCTTAGGAGATAAGTAGATAAATTCCTTATGTCCACTTAATTATCTGAGTTTCTTAGGAAATTCGTCTTCAGTCTATCTTTGAATCAACTTAAATGTCAGAGTTTTCAGGATCTATGTCTCCAGCCGCCTTTGAATAGGCAAACATAAAATTTTGTCAATGATTTTAGATAATCATAAAAGTAGTTCTTTAAAGAAGCTGACCACCCAAAAAAGCCGAATGGGTGGTCTCTTGTTCCGGAACACAAAGGGTCGGATAGCCAGTATCCATATAAGTAGAGAGAGGCAGGAAGTCAGTAAGTATGTCAGTGACTAGTGAGTGAGTAGGTCAGCAAGGAAGAGACCAGCGAGTGTGACGTCAACGACTGTAATGTTGACAAGCATCTTAAGGTGTTGTAACAATACGATTTCTCACACATCCTTAGGAGATAAGTAGATAAATTCCTTAAGTCCACTTAATTATCTGAGTTTCTTAGGAAATTCGTCTTCAGTCCATCTTTGAATCAACTTAAATGTCAGAGTTTTCAGGATCTATGTCTCCAGCCGCCTTTGAATAGGCAAACATAAAATTTTGTCAATGATTTTAGATAATCATAAAAGTAGTTCTTTAAAGAAGCTGACCACCCAAAAAAGCCGAATGGGTGGTCTCTTGTTCCGGAACACAAAGGGTCGTATAGCCAGTATCCATATAAGCAGAGAGAGGCAGGAAGTCAGTAAGTAGGTAGGTGGCTAGTGAGTGAGTAGGTCAGGAAGGAAGAGACCAGCGAGCAGTTAGGGAGATAGCAATCAACCATTAAAGCCGAAGGGAAAGATAAACGGTTTAGTGAGAATTCGTATTATTACTATATCCCAACCAGTGTCTTGTAAAGAATTTGTCGTTATTCTTTGTTGAATACGATCGCGTCTAAGGAGACAAACCTGTGAACATAGCGAGTCGGGTGTATATGCAGACACAGCCGACCTTAGATGTCATCACAGGTGCAATTAACGACGGACGAGCGGAGCTCGTTGTCACAGTGCATATCAGAATTTACCGACTTTTCAACCCTTAAAACGCATGAGGATGGTTACGTAAGCAAATTATTAACTTCCCGACCCCCGGGGGAATGAACAGAATAATAGGAGAGTTCCATAAGATTTATACTAAGCTGTTTGATTAATTCCTTTTAGTGTCTAAACAACTAAAAGAAAATTCCAATGTATCCTCATTCACAGCAGCAGCAGTCCTGACACTGTGGAACCTGTTAGTAAAGTCCATTTCTGCTGCCTTTCTCGGGTTGCAATTAACTCTATTGGTGAGGATAGTTCTTTCTTTTTATGTGTCATGTCCTTTCAGGACGTGGGCGATCATGGCTCTCCACCCCCCTTTATCCCTTGCAGCTCTCAACAAGACCCTTCCCTCTGCTTCCTCCCCGAGACCACCTTCTGTCATCCACCTGCTCAAGCTCGTCAGGTATGTCACGCGCTGCTTTCCCTTGTCTCTCTTTCCCTCTATTTGACCTCTGAGTATCAGATTCTCCAGGCCCTCCTTCCTCATTATGTGTGCCAGAAACTTCAGCTACCTCTTTCTTATGTTTAGTATAAGCCTACTGCTTGTTTTTAACCTCTGTAAGACCTCATCGTTGCTCATATGCTCGGTCCATGATATCCTTAGCATCCTTCTGTTGAGCCACATCTCAGTTGCCTCGAGTCTCTTCTTCATCTTTGAGGAAATCGTCCAACATTCGCTGCCATAAAGAAGAACAGATATCATGTAACATATGCAAATTGCTAACTTTCCACCCGGGAGAAGGAACAGAATGAAAGGAGAGTTCCATAAGATTTATACTCAGCTATTTGATTAATTCCTCTTAGTAAATAATCAACTAATGGAAAATTCCAAGATGAAACAAGATCATTACCAGTTGCATGCCTTCACGCTATCATTCTGTTCATTCTCCCGGGACAGGAAGTTAGTAATTTGCTTACGTAAGCATCCTCATTACCATGACAGCCGTTTTTTCATTACAAGACAAGCAACGTTTGTACAAAGATTTATAATTCTTTGTAGATTTATTTCTGAGTCTGAAGCCAAGAGACTTCACTTCATTACAGATACTACCATGGCCCGCTCCTGTCAGCTGTAATGAAAACATCAGCTTGTTTGGCTTTATTCTCATTCACTGCAGCAGAATTCCTGACACTGTGGAACCTGTTAATAAAGTCCGTGCCTTCCTCGGGTTGCGATTAACTTTATTGATGAGGATAGTTACATATGCAATTTACTAACTTCCCGTCCCGGGAGAATGAACAGAATGAAATGAAAGTTCCAAAAGATTTATACTAACCTAATCTAATCTAATCAACTAACAAGGTGGAGGCTCTTAAGGATAGTCTTTCCCGGGTGGTGGCTGGGGTGGATTCCTTAGAAATGGATCTAGATTGGGAGGCCCTGCAGCGTGCGGCTAGCGAGCACTATCAGTGCCAGTTTGTTAGGCGTAAGTTAAACAAGAAGTCTAGCGAAGTCGTGAATCGCGAGCATGTGGCATTATGGTGTATGGATGAATGATTGGCGACGAATGAGTTTTTATGGTGAATGAGGAAATTGTAACGAATGAATGGGTCGTGAGTCCGATTAGCTAGGTATAAGATAGATAGTGGAGACCAGTCTCAACCAATTCTCTCCTTTCGGCCTTATGCCATAATTGTATTAATTTACAATAAATCTCAATAATTACAATTTTTGTGATGTCAACGAACATTCGTTGATACTTTTGTGATGTCAACAAATACTCGTTGTCACTTTCGTTATGATCGTTGTAGTAGAGACTTTGTAATCGCAGATACAAATATAGTAACGCTTTTGAACAATACTGGTGACAGACGCCTTCGCACTAATAGTACTTTCTCAATAATTCTCGCTTGAATAGTAACCATCAAAGAATGATCTGAATAGTAATCCGTGTACTGATCGGTATAGAGAAATAGTATTGTCTGCAGACTCGGAAATAAATCTACAAAAAATTATAAGTCTTTATCCAAAGGTTGCTTGTCTTGTAAAGAAATAAAAATTGGCTGTACTGGTAATGAACGCGTCAAAACGAATGAAACACCGCCAGCGTGAAGGCATGCAACTGGTAATGATCTTGTTCATCTTGGAATTTTCCATTAGTTGATTATTTACTAAGAGGAATTAATCAAATAGCTGAGTATAAATCTTATGGAACTCTCCTTTCATTCTGTTCATTCTCCTTGGACGGGAAGTTAGTAATTTGCATATGTAACTATCCTCATCAATAGAGTTAATCGCAACCCGAGAAAGGCATGGACTTTATTAACAGGTTCCACGGAATGCTGCTGCTGTGAATGAGTATAAAGCCAAACAAGCTGATGTTTTCATTACAGCTGACAGGAGCGGGCCATGGTAGTATCTGTAATGAAGTGAAGTCTCTTGGCTTCAGACTCAGAAATAAATCTACAAAGAATTATAAATCTTAGAACAAATGATTCTTTGTCTTGTAATGAAAAAAAACGGTTGTCATGTTAATGAGAATGCTTACGCAAGCAAATTACTAACTTCCTGTCCCGGGGGAATGAACAAAATGACAGGAGAGTTCCATAAGATTTATACTAAGTTGTTTGATTAATTCCACTAATCAACCAAGGAAAAATCTGCCTCGTTATTGACATGGCAGTCCCTGCAGACTGCAATGTATCTTTGAAGATATTAAAAAAACTATCAAAATACAAGGACCTTGAAATCGAAATCTCAAAAATGTGGCACATGAAGACATTAACATTTCCAGTTGTAGTTGGAGCTGTCGGTTTGATTGGAAAAGATTCTGATAGACTCATTGAAGGGATCCCAGGTAGCCCAAGCCTTAAAGAAATACAAAATATTCTATCCGCAAGTACAGCTCACACTATGCATGGCTTTACTTATGTAAAATATGTGTGACCTTAGGGTTTTTTCTTAAACTGCTCAGTGAAAAATGTTCTGATGTCATTTCTGACCTTAGGTCTCTGGTTGGGACCCGGAAAGAAATGAGTATACACCAGAAACCAAAGGAAGTGAAATAATAATAATAATAATAATAATAATAATAACAACAACAACAACAATAATAATAATAATAATAATAACAAGAAAATGATTGGCGTAATTCTTCCAATATTTTTCAACATTTAAGCGAAGAGCGTGATTTAAGAAGAGATAAAGGAAAGAGAAAAAAAAACAGTATTTGACAATGTCAAACGATATTTCAACAGAATGTCTGTCTTCTTCAGGTTATATTTAAACAATTTTTCAAGCATAAAATTCTTTGTACAAACGTTGTTTTGTCTTGTAATGAAAAGACAGCTGTCATGGTAATGAGGATGCTTGCGTAAGCAAATTGCTTTACGTCCCGGGAGGAATGAAAAGAATGACAGGAGAGTTCCATAAGATTTATATTAAGCTGACTGATTCTTCTTAGTAACTAAATAATAATAATAATAATAATAAGACCATATAATAATTATAAATGTGTGTTTATGTATTTTCGGTGTATTTATTTATATATTTCCTGTCCCATTTGTAGTGGGAAGTGAGGTAAATGAAATTAAATTAGTAAATTCATAAGAGATTACTTCCCTTAGCT